GCTTTTTTTATTGTGCACATTGCACTTTTTTTTCTTCGAGGTATTAAGCGCACCTGTGTACGGTGAAATTGTATCTAGCTAAAACGAAGAAGGACAAGTGGGGAAAGGAGAAGCGAGAGAATAAAAGGGACGAGGGGGTGTAAATGTAGGTCGCCCGTGCAGTGCACGACGACAAATCCACTTGAGCGGATTATTTGCCGCGATTCAAAAACGCCGGCCCTAAAATCTTGCGAAAGAAACCCCCCCCCTTGCAGCTCTTACATAGCTCCACTCTTTGCTCTCTTGACTCCCCCCCCCCCTTCCGCCGAGTCCCGGGAGTTTTTTGCTTCATAATTAGCAAGACTACTTCTCGGCTGCCGCGAACTTTTGTGTTAATGAAATTAAAAGCAGATCTCTTTTACCGTCCCACCGACCACGTCGAAAAGTGCCTGTATACATATATACACGGTGGCCCTCCCGGGGGATTGTTGTGCAATTTAATTTTTCCGAGTAACCTCCTCCTCTTCGCAGCCGGGCCAACGGAGGAGAAAAATCCCTGAATTCAATAAACTAACTCCAATCCAAAGGACACATATATATACATTGCTCGTTTGCTCCTGAGGCAACTGTGCGCAATGCCAACACACAAACGGGGAGCCGATCACCGCCGATTAGAAGCGCGTCGGACGTTCCGTTTCGCGGAGCGATTCGGCTTTCTCAGCTGCCGGTGTATACACGGTATATACGGTGGTCCGGCTCTCTGTTTCCAGGGCAACCGGTATTTCGAGCCTAAAGCGCGCCTCGGGATGAATTTGCATCGGAAGCCGCCAGTAGCAGCTGCCGTGACGCGTACATATAGGTACATAGGATGGTAGCCAGAAAGTGCAAGGGGTGGGGTACAAACGAGGCGAAGCGGCAAAGTACTTTGTCACGAAGGAGCTTAAATCGATTTGGTGGGAATGTGGCGAGCTTTAACGTATATGGCTCGCGGCGCGTTAGCCAAACTCCGGAGTATACTTGTACTACAGGGATGGGGGGGGGGGAAAAAAAAAAAAAAAAAAAAAGAGCGCAGCCTACCAGGTCACTCTTTTTTCTTCTTCACACGCTTGGCCGCCCGTACGTATTTATGCCCTTTCGTTCGCACACCCGCCTCGACCTCTTATCTCAACTCTTGAAGTTTTACGGAGCCCCCCTCCCAAGGCGAGTAATATGCAAACGCGAGCAAACAGCCGAGCATGTGTATATATGTACTCCCGGTAGCACGCTGTACGCGTGTATTTATGGAGTTGGCACCGCGAAATGGCCAACGAAAGTTTTAGCGTTTGTGGGTGGGGGGAAACAAAAAAGCCAACGGATCATAGAAGAAGTGCTTTTCTTGATTATTACAGTCCCTCTCGATTGGCTGGAGCTACATTTATTTTTTTCAAGATTTTCTTGTCTACATAATCTATCGCGACGTAAAAGTCATGTACGTATACTTCGAGATACGCATAGGTATACCCGTAGACAACGAGCTTCTTATCCATCTCTTCCATCTGTTTCTCCAGACTCGCAACGCGTAAGATCGGCAATCCGTCGAAACGGCTGAAGGGCATGTACATAAAACACGCGCGGCAACAGTTACATGTAAGTAACAACGGTGCCGATGTCGCATCGATATCTTTTATACTGCATTCAATAACCTCGCGATTCCTTGAATCGGTATATGGAAATTCGGTATGTATACTGTAACGCACGATGGAGTGTGTTTTTTTCTTTCAATTTTACGAGCCAAAGCGGAGTCGAGCTGACAACGTAAAGTACCTACCTATACCTAGCGAGAGACAAAAGGGGTGTGTCGTTTTCTCAGAAAATTTATTCCAAGCCTATAGGCACTTTGGGTTACAAAACGTTTGTAAAACCAATTTTCCGTTTTTACACTGTTTTGCATATACATCCATGTATAGAAAAAAAATTAGTCCAAACACCAAAGGAGGTCGCGACTCCGTAGTGGTATGGTTGTACACACAGTAAGTAGTCGAAGGGAAGCTTCGTTAGGCTCGAGGAGGCTCTTGCGAAGCAGCTGCCGAGCTGACAATCTGCGGTAACGACGACGACGAGAGGCCGCAGGATTAATCCTAATCGAAAAGCCCCAGCAGCATCTCCTTACCCCTCGCCCCTTTTGCACACACCCGAGTGGCTCTTCTCGCGTGTACATGCGAGTCGTGTCGTATTATGCGGCCGCGACAACCTTGCTACACGTTACACCTATACGAGATAAAACGAGGAGGGATGTGTATATATATATGTATGTAGGCGAGCGAGCCAACTCGAGACACTCCTCTCCTGCTGCTCCGAGGCACAAAGAGGCTTAAATACACCGCATAGTTGGCAAACCAGTTACCATGGAGGGAAAGTTCGGGAGAGCGAGCGTATATATATGTGTATATATATGTACGCTATAACGAGATTTATCTGATCTACGACACGCGACCCCTCTCTCTCTCTCTCTCTCTCGCCCCGAAGAGCTTGCAGGGGAGAGTGCAGTGTGTGCTGCTACGATCAACTCTAGTGGAGAGCCGTCCTTATAATTCTCGAGCTGGCCTGTAATTTACACACGCCGGACTCGAGGAGGGATATATACCAACATAAGCCCCTGCTCCCGCGGCCCGGAAGAATGTACATATATATATATGTATGGTGATTGACGGGTCTCAAGCTTTCTTTGGTTTCCTATTTTTTTTTTTTTTTTTTTCTTCTTCCTCCTGGCAAAGTACTCTGATGGATGGGCCCTTGTTTTACGCGAAAGCCCCATGTCCGAGCCGAAGCAAATTATACCACGGAGGATAACAAATGTATACGTATCTGCTCTTTGAGAGCAGCGCGAGACCGGAATTCGTTATTAAAGATGTACGAACCATCGAGCAGGAGTTCCTTCCTATCTGTGGGACCTATCTAGGGCAGATGGGGGAGAAATGCTTTTGATACTCTGCTGTTGTACATACTTTTGAGATTGTACTTCTCCCCCGGAGTTGCAACAAACGACGCCTGAATGCCCGTTTCATTTATTAAAAAGCGTAATTCTCTTTCCTCGATCTGAGGAAGGGTGGGGGGGGGGCGGCTCTCCTTTGATACACCGGGATGGATATTGAATAAAGCCGGCGCGGTAACAAAGGGGCTCCTTTTCCTCCCACGGCCCGAAATGACTTTTTATATCTCGGGTATTTCATCTTTGCGTCGAATTATGCTGAGCACTCGCTCCTCCGGATATACGAGCTCTTCCGACCAAAAGCGAGCGACGTGCACCGAGCGGCTGTTTCATTAATTTTAGTGCGAAACCGGAGAGGGATACGCGGTTTGGTTCGAGTGGAGTAGCGGTGCTAGAGTCATTTTGGAAAATTACACGAACAACCGAGCAGGGGTGGAAGGATCGAAGAAGAAGAAAACGGAGAGAAACGTTATCGGTGCACCAGGGTTACGAAAATTCGCCAAAGGATCTTGGAAATCTCTGTCACGTCTCGTCTACCGCGGCAAATTGAATTTCATGGGAGATACTTGGTCGGCCCGAAGAGGGAAATCGCTCACCTTACGTGACTATCTGCTTGTCGAAATGATTTTTTTTTTTTTTACGCTTATAAAAACAACATTAAGATTACCTCGAGTTGGTCCTTGACATGTAATTGGTGAGCAAACTCACCATTGTATAGCTATAGGGAATGGGCCTTGAGTCCTCGACAAAATAACCGGCAAAGCGAGCCCGTGCTTTAGGTGTAAAAGTTCCTCGAGCCCATCTTGGCATTCAAAACAAATCAATTTTTCCCGGCCCGCGTATATACTCGAAAGCCTCGGAGCTCCCAAAGTTCGAGGTATTAATTACTCACGAGACGAGTGAAAAAGATTTTCACCATCGAGGAATTTTAATGAACTCGTCGTTTGAGTTTCGCGCGCGCTTAATGCGTACGCACACAGTTTCATTCACTTACTCCGTGAGAAAGAGGGGGAGGGGGAGCGCCTTCAATTGAAAAGTAAACGAACAGAGCGAGGCTTCTCGTGTAAAATATATTGCATAACCGCGCGTTACACTTTGTACCGGCACAAACTTCGTTCAGCTTGGTAATTTTATTTCCTCATTTACATCAAAACGCCTTGGAAAATTTAAAAGTTCCACTATACAAACAGCTCGACTTTTTCTGCTTTCCCCCCCCCCCCTTTATAAAGGGAGAAAACAAAAAACACCAAGCGAAATCCACAAACAGAGTGCAGTACCACCAAAGTTGTAACGAATTCATTGTACCGCGGCAGGAAGCGCCGGCAGCCGGGGCATTATCAATTATCGCGCAAACGACCCGTGTGACTCTCAATGCCCGACTGTACACGCACCTCAAACGGTAACGGTAGCAAACCTAATCCCCGTGAAAGGAGTTTGCTCCGACGACCTCCCTTTTCCAAGAGCGCAAATTCATTACTCGGAAAAAAAAGCGAGCGCGCCCATTGTGACGCGTACCCTCCGATCGTACTGGCCCTAACGACCGGTTGCACCACCTGTAGTCTCGACGCTCGAGAGCATCTCCTCCCCCCCCTCCGATATAACGAGGACTCGGTTGCCCCCCACCCCCTGCTCTCGTTTTTATTTCCCTGCTCTTCCTCCTCCACCTCATTTCGATGTAGCTCCCTTGCGCACTCAACCAACCAGTGAGACGTGTACAGAGACACACACACACGGGGCAAAATCGATTTCAGATTTCAATTTAATGCCATCGCGATATCCCCGGCCTAGCTCCCTTATTCCCCCCCCCTTCATCCCCCCAGTATAACTGGAAAGAGAGCGAGGCAATCTGGGCGCGTCCTCTCGCGTATACACACAGAAATCGCTCTTATCAGGTTTCCTCGATTGCGCATCACGAGCGAAAATAGCTCTACGTATAGGCCTCGCGCGTATATACACACAAGACTGGCATTATATATAAATACGCTACTAGGTATAATTATACATAGCGAGGGAGAATTAATCAAGTGTTGTTCTTTTGTTGTGTGTGTTGCAGTGCCACCGGAGAACATAACGATACTGAACGAGAACGGCGACGTGCTGAGATCAAGCGCCGGACCTTACTACGAGGGGGACGACCTGAGGCTTTTCTGCGACGTTCACGGTGGTAAGCTGCACAACCAATGTACCACGTGTGTGTTGTTTCCCTGCTTATGCGAGCACGCGCTCCTCCCACGACTTCTTATTATCTTCCTCCCTTGTGTGTATATAAATACACATGTGTAGGCTTGTCTCCCCTCGTCCTTCGCTCCTTATCCCTACGCGTGTACCTTATCTAGCTGAGCCTCCATCGGTGTCCTTTTCTCTCTCTCCTCGAAATAAATTGGATCGGGACTATTGCTTCCTTTTGAAGAGGATCTCTTTTGCCCGGCTGGCTCTCGTGACAATGTGTTGTGTATGGCTATTGGTTTCCGGATTAGGTGGACCCTTTTTTTTCGTTTCGTCTCTATTTTCTTTGTTTTTTTTTTTTTTTTTTTTTTTTTTACAAACCAACAAACAATTGCTGGATTATCTAAATTGAGTTGATTTACTTTAACAAAAAATAATAATAGTAGTAAATGTACCGTCAACGGGAGCCCGGATGCGCGGGAATAATTGAAAACAAGTAGTACGATCGAGATTCGGTCAGACGCGAACGTTTTATCATGAACGAGCGTGGCGCGGTGTTCCAATCGCTTCGATTTCTCCCTTCCAAATGCGTTCGCGTTATTATTTCATACGTACACCCGGGGATTAATTGAAAAGTTCTGCAGAGCTCGAAGGCAAAAAAGAGAGTGATAAAAAAAAAAAAAAAAGGCCGTACAATTTAATTTTACCCATCGACTTCTGATCAAATCCATTTGGCCCGGCCGATCCGTGTACATTTTGCAGGTGCATTGTTACACCGGCCCTTTTTTTCCTGATTGCACGGCACGCGTGAAAAATTCAATCTCATCGGCGCCGGACGCGCCCAATCACGAATCCGAACAATCTCGCACGCAGCCCGGCTGCGGAAAAATTAATCTAATAACTGCGGGAGCGAGAATCATCCGGCAATCCATCCCCCCGGTGCCTTTTATCGGATGCGGAACATCATCGGGCCGATCAAGATTTTTAATTAACCCAACAATAGGGTGCATGAAAAAAAAAAAAAAAAAAAAAGGAAAAAAGAAAGGGTTGCAGGGCTTCCTCTTGCAAATTCTCTATCGATTCGCCCGGTGGTCCGAGTGGATGCAATTAGCGCCGATTTTACGAGCCATTTATACATGCAGGATACCTTCATTAGAGAGAAAGAGAGAGGGAGGGGCGCCATCCCTGGTGGCACAATTGTAAACCGAGTTCACGTCGACGCACACGCGGGGCTTGCGGATTATTCGTTTTACGATTAGCGCTGGGTTTCGCAAGCGTATCCTGTAGTTGGCGCCCTAGGGGATAACGAAATTTATCAACTACGCGTCTCCCCGAAATTCATCGATCGGGAGAATTAACCAAACTGATTTTCTCTTTTTTTTTTGTTCATCTCAAACGTGCTACATTTGGCAAATGGAAGCGGAGATGATATATAGAGGGGTGTAAACGAAAAAAAGCTTGATAAGCGTATACAGGTATAATATGTGGGACACACATTTTCAGGACGGAGAAAGACGGATGGTCGCACGCGCTCGCTTAATGGAAGGGTTGAGAGGGGCCGCTGGGGGAGGGAAAAAGTTTTTTTTTCGGGGGATGATGATGATGATGATGAAACGACGTGTGGGATATTTCAGCTGCTCGAGAGAAGTGGCTGCTGCCGGAGAAGTGATGGAGACCGGACTTTTGTAAGTGATATGAGGAAAATTAACGGAGTTTTTGGAGTACAGGCTGGAAGGGGAGGAGTTTTGCAAGGTGGCGTTGGAAATAATGTATAGATTGCCAAAAAGCTCTTTTCGTGGAAGCAGCTCGATTGATTCGTACAAATTTAATTAAAGACTCGATCGGCTAATCGTGACGGGGCGGGAAGAGCAGAAAGAAAAGGGGAGCTGTAATCGAATGTTAAAGTACGTGACACTGGATTAAGGATGGGCTTATGGGACATTTCAGTCATGGGTATTACACTTTGGGGTATTTTTACTTCATGCCAAGTTGATTCGTAACTTTGATAAAACAGACTTGCAACTTTGTCACTCTCTCACATAAAATTAGTGAAAATATCGAATATTTCAGTAGCTCCATTGTAAATCCAAGTGCATTTAAGTACACGTTTAACGCGTGCAGTTAAAATTTCGTTTTTTTTTACAAAATGTATTTTGCGTTTATACTACAACACTTTAAACGGGAAAATTCAATGCAGGAAATTTTCACAGCGACAAAAATTCTCTGTTAAAAATTTAATACTAGCTACAGCCAACTTGTGTCAATCATTGAAGAAAAAAATTGTTTACTAATAGGTTTGGCAAAATAATTTATAAAGCATCGCATTGGTTTTTCTTAAAACGTTTGTCAACGTAATGCATTTTATTAAAAGCTTCAAACGTGTACTTTAAAACACTTGAATTTAACAGTCTCATCTTTTGAATTTTTGTTATTTCCATCTGTGAATTTTCACACATTGAGTAAAATTCTCCCGTTTCGGTTCAAGAGAGTAATTAGTAATGAAGTTGTAGGTAATGAATGGAGCTCATTGTTATTTTCCATGAAAAACCCAGAGTGTTTATTGCAAATTCAAGGTTTATCGCGCAAAGGAAATAGTAGGAGGAGGAGAGGAAATTAGTGGGGCAGTAGCTGAAGATCTTAGCATCGCAATAACGATAACGTTCGTGGCCGTAAAAATAATCGGGCCGATAAAATTACACGGCGAGGGGCCGTTAAAAGGAGCTCACGATCGACCTCGATTCGCTCCGTTATCACCAGCTTACGAATATTTTTCATCCTCCCTTGTTAATTATCTCATATGTATTTTTTTGTTGCTTCTCTTCCCTAAAAGCACCAAAAAAAAAAAAAAAAAAAAAGCGAAATGAGAACATGACTAATGCACCATCACTTTGAGCTTTTTTTTTAAAAAAAATAAAAAAAGAGTCAATCCGATCAAACGTCCATCACACATCGGGTGGACTGCGTGCGAGATTATCGTCAAACAGTGGGCACCGGCGTACCCCAGAGAAAGCAAGGCAAAAGAGAATTCTTAATGAAAAACAGCTAGCCGTAAAGCTCTCGAGTATATCTCGGATCCCTGCACGCGAGCGCAAAGCCATTTTGAGTAACGCTCGTGGTACGCAAATGCAGTCGGAGGGAGAGCTTTGCTGATTCAAGAGGAAAAAAAAAACTTCTTTTTTTTATTTTGACGTGTGTGTGTGCACAGGTAAGCCACCACCTATGGTCAGCTGGTATCGTAACGGGGAGTTCGCGGGCAACGCGAGCCACAGCCAGAGGGACGGTCTGACGCGGAGCGAGCTACGGTTGAAGAATCTCGGCCGCAGGGACGTGGACACGCGGATCACCTGCAACGCTACCAACAACGACAGGTCCAGTCCCTTGTCCGTCAACGTCACCCTCGTCATGTACTGTAAGTGCCCTTTGTACTGTTTCATCATAACCATTACCTCCCTCTACACATGTCACATTGTTGTTCAATGTTTAACACTAAATTGGCCACAACCTGTTTTTGCTTGATAAAGAAGTATATAATTAACATGAACATTTTCACATGGTCCACTGTAGGTGTGTGTGTGTGTTTTTTTTCAAGTGATAATATTTTATTGTCATTACTTTGGTCAAAATTATACGAGAATTTTTAATCAATTTTATGGGCGAATATTATGTTGACCGAACGAAATTTGAGGTCTTACGTTATGGGTAAACATTGAATTTATTTATCAACGTCACAAGTAAACATGCATTATTTGTTTATTCCTGGGGGAAAAAAGTAAGCAATGTACCTGTACTAATTAATATATCAAAATGTGGTTAAAACAAACTCCCAACATAATTAAAACATCATTTTATTTGTACACTGTATAAATTTACCAGCACCACGTGAACGTCACAAATACCCGAATGCGCTCGCCCAATTAAAGCAGACGATCGAGATATTTATATATTTACATGCATTTGGAACTTAAATAAATTTTCGCTCCCTTAATTAAGCACACATGGCGAGCGCTTGAACTATTTATTCTTAATTAAAAGCGCCTAGAGAGAGAGAGAGAGTCACTCACGAAGGTGGTGGTAATTCGCTCATCAGGCGCGTGCTCCGGGCCGTGTTAAAAGAGAAAATAAGTTTTTTTCTTTCTTTCAGCCCTCGCGGTCTTCATTAAAGTCAAGTTCTCATAATTGACATTATTACGGGGACGTAGAAAAAAATTAATTATCACGCTCCACTCTCGTTTAGGAAAAAAATATCTCTCGCTCCCCGAAATTCAACGTTTCGCCAAAAATTAAACAATCCCCCTCGCGCTCAGCGATAAAAAAAAAAAAAAAGTAATTTCACCGGCCCCGTCCGAGGCTATTTTTAATCGCAATGGCCTTCACGTATAAATCCTGCGTAACGCACGGGGCATCGATAAATCAAGTGTCACGCGGAATCAGCAAAAAGCTGCCTACCGGAGAAAAAAAAAAAAAAAAAAACAGAAAAACATTGCGTGGAGAGTACCGTCAGCAAGAAGGAGGACAGCCGGAGCCTCGGGGTCGGAGGGAAAAGTGACGCGCCCACCGCGAAATCAAGATGGACGACACAATTTGCTCCAAGTTACGCTTCGAAGGATCCGACGACGACGCCCGCCTTGGATTCCCCGGGGGTGTTTTGCATGCCTCGCGAGGAATCTCTCTCTCTCCTGCACCGTGTGCCATCCTGCTGCTGCTGTTGTTGGCCGCAGTTGCGTGAAAGACAGAAACAGAGAGGCAGTGCGCTTTTCTCGGAGCCCTTGGTTTTTTTTTTTTTTTTTTTTCCAAACCGCTTTACTACCCCGATGCTCGTCTGCGAAATTACGAGCTTTTTTCCGGAATTCTCGGCGGGAGCTTGTAAACGTGGGCAGAGGACCTTTTTTTTCCAGGGCAGAAGATGGTAAAAAACAAGAAGGCTCTGGTTAATTTGAATATGGAATTTCCGAAGCCCGTGACTTCGACGCGTGGGTCGGATGATGAAATTATCTGTCGTCGTCGGGGGATGACGGATTTCGGGGAGGGGTGTCGTGTTTCGTTGAAAAATCATCTGGTGTACACGCTTCGCGTGACAGTTCCGTCAAACGAGGGAGCGTCTCGAATGACGGGAACGAGCGCCGGAGGAAAGTTTCATTTCACCGTACTTACCCCGACTCACGCGAGCGTGACGAATTCGCAGCTGCTGCAGCTGAAACAAAAACAACAGTCTATCAATCAATCCATATATATATATTAAAATCCACCAATTTCAATAAAATCAAAGAGAATCCTAAAAAAAAAAAAATGCTCGCAGCGTCCACATCGTGACTCACAAAAGTTAATTAAACTCGTTTTGCAGGGGCGTGTTAAAAAAACAACATTTAATCCCACAGGAAAAGGGGGAAGGGGGGCGTAAAATAAAAAAATCCACTTACGTATAAATAATGGGGCGGGCGCAAAGCAGGGGGTCCGAAAATAATTAAATTAATGCATTTAAATGGCGCTCATTAAGTCGGGTGGGTCTTTCTATTATCATCAGCAGGTAGAAAAACACGAGAGGGACGCTTTCGGTCATATCTCTCTGTGTCATAAACAACGGAGGAAGGGACGAAAAATAATATCGACGAGCGTCGCGCGCGCCTTGGACAAAACCTGTACCAAAGTAGAAAAAAAAAGGCCCGCGGAAAGAGTAAGGAAATAAAAGAAATAAAAGGGGCAGGAAGGTTAGCTCGAGCGCGAAATGAGCGGGAGAAAGGAAGAAAAAGGAAAAATCGGGTTTCAGGGGGCTCCAGCGAGCACTGGTACCAACCTGAAAACTATTCGGTTAGTTGGTATAACTGCTGTGAGTATATATCTATATATATATACGTGTATATATATTATATGCGAGCAGCTAGGCGAACGCCTAGGCGTGAGCACCATAATCTATATATATGATGTATCCGTACCTATGGTAAACAAACAGCAGCTTCTGTCACGTACAGAGCGTTTTATTTAGAATTAGTTTTTTTGTGTTATAAAACATGAAAGAAATAAAAAAGTAATTGATGATAACAACCAAAAATTAAGTGTATTAAAAGGTATTATTAATGATAAGATAATTTATAAAATGGCCAAAGAATCGATATCAACAGAAGTATTAGTAGATGCATATAAAAAAGATCCTACAAATGGTATCACCGTAATTATTATCTATGAGTGTAAATAATAAAGTAAGAGTTACTTCAAATATTAATATAATTGACGCAATTTGTGATAAAATAAAAAATAATTGCAGTTAAAATTTTTCAAAAAAAAAATAAGTGTAAGTAATCCATAGGAGAACACGATTAAAAAAGAGTTACAAATGACATGAATCCTATGTAAGTACTTGCAGTGTAATTCTGAAATATTCAAAAGCGCGCGCCTTACAAAAAACAAGATGGCATCCCGTCATAACCCTGCTAATTCAATGACTTGATCAATACTTTAAGAAATATCTCAAATATTTCCAGGCTTACCTATATTTTTGAAGGTACCGTCTGAAAGCTGAGATGTTTTTCTATAAAACAGTTACAGTCCTGATATGTAACTCCTCGATTATTGTTAGAAAATACCGATGTTTTCACGTTGCTCCATGAGAGGCTATGTATGATTTACGAACTTTGAGAGCAAATATCTCAAAATTTTCCAGGGTTAGAGGGGTAAATAAGGACACCGTTGGAATCATCGTGTTTTTATCTATCAATTAAGCTACCTGTGACCTCCTAACTCCTCCCGCTGGAGCCCCCTTAAGCACCGCTACGCTGTCTCGTATAATTAGTATGCATACGCTAGTTGGAGCGGAGTAGGCGAGAGACGTAGGAGGGGGGGGGGTAAACGAGGCAGTCAGAATAATCTTGCCCTGTTGGGTGTCGCAGAAATTTTTTCGCGCACGCACTTGGTAAGTATATATGTGGCGTCTCACATCTCTCGCGCTTCAGGCTCTACTCGCCAGGTGGCCAAGCCCCTAATAGTTAACTCTCGTCAAGCGGCGAAATTCCCGCACGATTACTATATAACCGCGATCAGAGTCAATCTGACCCCGTAAGTACCTCTCTTGTGTCTACAAGGCAGGGAACACGTAACCGCATTTTCAGGTAGTGAGATCTCTTGCACATCAACAAAATGGCATGTACAAGGAAGCCTTCAAACCCATCATTAGAAATATGTGGTGGGCTGAAATAGGACATAATTGGCATGAAATATGAACAAAATTTGTCCAGAATAACCCGGAAATATTCGCAATGCCCGAGATCAGTGGACCAGAGTCCTCTCTATACTGTGGCACACTCACACACATTGTTATTCTGGACAATGTGTTGTTCATCTATCATGCCGATATGTCCTACTTCAGCCCACCACATATTTCTAATGATGGATTTGAAGGCTTCCTTGAGCATGCCATTTTGTTGATGTGCAAGAGATCTCAATAACTCGAAAATGCTGTTACGTGTTCCCTGCCTTAGATTTAGATACAAGAGAGGTGTGGGCTTAGATTTACTCGATCGCGCTTATATTGCAATCGTGCGGGAATTTCGCCGCTTGACGGGAGTTAACTAGGGGTAAACGGTACAGTTATTGACACCTTAAGGTAGTGATTGACCCCTGTATAATTTGTATATCTATATGTAAAGACTCCATTTTAAAATGCATGTGGCGGTCAATCACTATCGGGGGGGAGGGGGGTCAACAACTGTACCGTTTACTATTAGGGGCTTGGCCACCTGGCGAGTAGAGCCTGAAGCGCGAGAGATGTGAGACACCACATATACACGAGGAAAATAATTAGCCATCGTTTTGTCGTGCCTATCCCCGCGAAAATATCTGTCTCGGCTAATGGGAGTAAAAGAGAAAGAAAAATAGCAAGCGGACGTGCCGCGAAAGTTGGCCATCATCGAGATGGAGGAGCAGGAGGAGGCGTGGAAGGTATTACCACCACCACCACCGGGGAATTTCATCGGTCAAGCGCAGCAGCAGCAGAAATAAAGCACCCCAGCAGAGCCGGGGATTCCCCGTTCGCGCGCCATCTCCCCCCTATATACGTTGACTCTTGGGACGATAAGCTCATCAAAATTCCGCGTTTCGCCGGCGAGAGCTGACCTACCCCCTACCCTCGGTGCTTTCGGTTAGCCGCAACGTGGCCGACGCCGCGAGGGACGGAAGCGAACTTTTCCTCCTTTTCTTCCCTTTCTCCCTGCATGTGTAGGTAAGTATACCCACTGCTGCTGAATGCGTTTTAAATTCTGTATGGAAAATTGGGCGAGATTGACTAATCTGAACTGAAAGAAGAAAAAAAAAAAAAAAAAAAAAAAAAAAAAAAAAAAAAAAAAAAAAAAAAAAAAAAA